CCCACGCCCCAGCCCAGGCAAGCACACAGGGCCTCGTGATCAGGAAATTATTCAACATGTGTTTAACACTAATTCCTTCCACACCTAGCAAGCCCCACAGAAGCGCTCAGATTAAAGCAGGTGCTAAATACACTGCTGGGTTGAAGCCCGAAAATGTTTACAGGATCAGGGATTAAAATATATCAAATTATCTCTAGAGCTTCCAAAGCCGAAGTGGACTCCAGCAAAATCAAATGGAAACGCTAACTCCATTTTCATTTGAAGCAAATAGTGAAAGCTTCAGCACTACGAGCTCTGATGTGCTGTCTCCTCTCCAGGAGCTAATAGACAGGGATGAGCAAGGAATTAAATGATTTATTCAGTACCCTGGAGATTTCTTTTATTTTCTTTTTCGTTTCCACATAAATTACACGAGCACTTTATAAAATGAATACACATAAAACACCTTATAAGTGCATAACTTAAAAAACAAACAAATGCCTTTAAAAATCTCACTGAAAATAGGTTTTCTGATTGCTTGTTTGTACCAGCTGCTTAAATCGGCAGTGCTGTTTTAGATTATAAGTAACTGAAAAATATATACTGTATATATATATATATCTATATATTCCTGTAATTTGCTATAAGAAGTGCTTTGTTTAATTGTGTCTCATTCCCTCAGTACAATTAAAGAAATGACTAAGTTAAAACGGTTGAAAGTGAAATAGATTTTCACCATCACAAACTGCCTTATAAAGGAAAACAGGTAAAATAAAATATTGGACAACATTTTGCAAATGATATGGAAATAATCCATTGAAAGAAACTGCATTACCCCTGCAAACAGCCACCGAGGTCTTCTCATTATTAAAATATAAGCTGATCGGCACGGAGTCTGCGGTGGCCAGGGACAGTTTGGGCTCTTCATACAATTGAGATATCATATTTACCGTCCTCAGGAGTCTGTCAGTTCCTTCTCTTATTCCCCCCCTCGCAAGAAAAAATTAATGAAAAAGGGGAGGAGACATTGCTAGGTGACATCCGAAGGGTCCACATCTGTCGCAAGCAGAAATTGCTGCTGGGAGAAAAAAAGCCGCCTTGCTTCCTCCATTTGTTGCGTCCCCGAGCGTCTCCGGCGCGAGCGACCCGGGGCGATGCCGAGGAGTCCTGTTGCAGAAACGTGCTTTCCAGGGAGCCTTGTTCTTTTGTTTCAAACAATCAGTCTAATGTGTATATATATACATATATGTATGTGTGTGTGTGTGTGTGTATATATATGTATATGTGTGTGTGTGTGTATGTTTTTTTAATATATATATTTATATATATATACACACACGCACAGAGGGACGTGGATGCAGCTGAACCCAGGCTGTGCACCACTGCCAGCAGGACCCAAAGGAAGTTTTCTCTGCAGTGAACACCCCGTGGCCGCGTCTGTCAGGGCTCGGCTTTGTCTGGCAGTGCGTAAGGAAGTTCATGGTCGGCACCGGAGACTTTCGAAAGAACAAAGGGGCCGGGGGGAGG